GTCACCCCTTCTCTGGGCCCGGGCGGCTGGCTGCCAGCCTCACAGGGGAGGGAGCAACCGGCCTGCGCCACTTGCTCACCACTGGGTTCATCTGACACCACATGTAAACACGGCTCAGCTGGGCCCGGAGTGGCTGGCTCCCCGGAGCCGCCGAGGCCGGCTCCTTGGGGCGCCCAAGGGGCCGTGGGAGCGGGGGCTCCGTGGCGCAAGGTGCAAAGCAGGAGGCAGCCGAGGCAGGCCAGTGTCGGATGAGCAGCTTCTCACTTGGGCATAAGGAATCCTGGCCGACCGCGGCTCCGCAGGGAGCAGGCAGTTGGTCCTAGCTGGCAGCCAAGGCTGCCCCAGGATCCCGCTGTCCTGCTCGTGCTCCAGCACGGCGATTCTCAACCCAGTGCTGAGATCCTCTTAGGGGGCTCGGGGACTGCCACGTGATGCGAGCTGTGCGAACGCCTTCACATGGCTCACGAGATAAGCTCGGCTTTCACTGGGGAGGCCACAGTGTCCTGCACGCTCGGCCCTGCCCTGGTCTTGCTGTCTTGTTTACCACAGCAGAATTGCTCAGTGATTTCCCCACACTCAGGAAATCAGTTCAACCCAGGGGCAGGCGGCGTCTGCATGCGCCTTGCTCTGGGGAGCGGTGCCTCGAGTCTCTGAGGGGTGAGAGTAGCTGCTTCGGCGGATGAGACGGGGTGGGGGAGCGGGGGCGCAGCAGTGACCCCATGAGCTGTCTGCCACGCGGCACCGGTGACGGAGTTGCTGCCCGGCTGCTTTGGCCTGCTGGCCGCCGGACCTCCCAAACAGGGGCTGGCTGGGCATCCCCGGCTTTGCGCCGCGGGTGGGAGGTGCTGCTGTCTCTGGGGGGCTGGGAGGGGAGGTGCTTACCTTGGGTCATCCCGGGCTGGCTGCAGTCGCACCAGACTGGCGCTGCTGGGCGCCGTGCACCTGGGGTTAAGGCTGTGAGCGGCTGCATGTGCAGACGGGCCCCGAGCGACCTCTTGTCGCTTCAGTGTCAAACCTGCAGTGGGACGCGGTGCTGGTGGGAGCCCCCCGCCGGGCTGGGCACCGCGAAGTGCCAGGAGCCCTGCGGTGGCAGCTGGGCTGCAGGCCCCGGGCGCTCTGTGCTGCCGGTGGCTCGGGGGCCTGAGGCCCTCCTGCCTCCCCTGCAGGTCCCTGGCCCAAGGCGGGCC